CACTGGCAAAAAATCTGAGTGTCGATGCGTGCGATGAATTGAAGATGCGGAGAAGAGATAGATAAAATAAAATACAACCTGGGGACTTGTGGATGACAAAACAATCACATCAATGCTCCAAAACAGTAAGCATACGCCCCGAACGTCCCAAGGCATATACAATGTCGAGTGTTGTGACTGTCTTCCGCTCAGCGTGCTCTGTGTATGTTACTGAGTTGCGAATAACCTTGGAATGATGGGTCAGAGACATGATGAAGGAGGTGACCCACATTTTCAAGGAATACTTTCTAAACACTGGGCGTCATGAGACCAGAAATACCCTGAGAGGCTGAAAGCCCGTTTCCACTATTCCAGAATACACATTGTACGCCAACCTCTCGCGGCCATGCACCTGTACCAGAGGGATTAGCGCTAGCGTTGACGTTGGAGGTACCAGCTTTTGATTGGTTGTTCACTGCTCGGGTGACTGTTGGCCTGTTGAGAGTTTCCTGTGGTTATAGCTAGAGATACAGATTAAATATTGAAGGGTCGTCTTGGTCATATGCTGCTTACTTGGGGAAGGAATTTATCTAGCATGGAAAACTCTTTTGTGTTACAACTGTAGTCCATTTGATAGAGTTTATGTGCGAAGAAGGGCTGTTGGAGGACACCAGTTCAACTAGCCTCGATGAATAGATGTAATAACGAAACATACCACAGAGTCACCCCTACGGCGCTACAGGTTGATCTCAGCATGTTCGTCTTAGAACAGGATCCGTCAGCAGCACTTGGGCCAACCACCAGCTGGGGATGATACTGACACGTGTGAACACTCCATCACAACAACTAGCCTCAATGGTTCTGTTTCAGGCAAAAACTTGGATTAGGAACGCACCCACACCAGACCTTGAGGCCCCAGCGAGCAAGACAACAAAAAGTGATTCTACAGGCCAGCGTTCCTTCATTGATTTCGCCCGAATTCATCCTGATTTGCTTGACGAGCCCAGGAAATACGTGCCAGGGTCATTGTCGAGTGGGTTGAAAGTCTGAGACCTCGTGCACTTCAACCTCAAACGAGGTCTTTACCTTCCCCGGTATAATCCATATGGAATCCATGTGGAATCCATGGAATCCATGAAGAATTCCATATGGAATCCATGGAATCAATGTTGGCTGAGGACACAGCCAGTTTCTGATTCCCTGGACATCATGGATTCCATATGGAATGATGCTGGAATGGTCATGGAATGATTAATTCCATATGGAATGCAGGCATATCCACATGGATTCCATGGAGCAGTCCATATGGATTCCATGGAAGGAATTAATGACTATTATACCATTAGAATACAGTGTCCTTACTATATTTAAGTAAAATAATTTTTTTTACATCTCGAGGAATTGAACTCTCGACCTCGTGAATGTAAACAGCACTCAAGCCAACTGAGCCATGAAGGCATTATTATATGAGAAACTAAAGGTATATATATACTGCTTTTAGGCACGTGCCGCGTCAAACGTGACAGCTGTGGCTGAAGCATTTGTCAGAAAAACCTGGGAAGCCTTATAAGGCAGGTAAGGCACGTAATCACCTGAACGAATTATAATCCAATTATAATCAAGGAGAAATGTACTATAATACAAGACGTGACCATTTTAACGCAAAGGGACAATTGTAAGGTACCACTCAATTGTAAATGAAACAAAAATTTGTAGTGAGCTCATAGCTCAATTGTAATGTGCGATTTTCTTACTAGTCGATCTGCGGATTTGTAGTTGTGTTGTTACTTTGTACTGTTTAACAATTGTTATTAGAGGGAATCGAACTCTGAACCTATTGATTACTTACTTTGTTATGACGTGCTTACTGACTTGGCTATAGTTACCACTTGGTTATGGGGGCATATTTAGCAATAATATCTAGCTTAATTTGTCATGACGAGCGCTAGGCTCACAATACAGTTGATACAGAGCGCTGTTCTCGCTCCTCGTAAACTTAGCTAGATAGGTGAAAGAACAGTAATAAGTAAAAAAGTCAGTCCATAATGCAATAAACAAGTGAATCCAGTCAATTGCAGTAGCTAGACATTGATACAATGCAGATGTAGTAGCTCAGCATGCTCAATCACTGTTCAATGGCTGCTCGTCGATAGTGTTGCCGGAGCTTGGCTCGGCTTGGCTGAGCCACGCGAGCCAAGCCAAAAGTAGCCAAGCGGAGCTGTTCTCACTGCTTGGGTGTCCCCAGCGGCTGCACCCCGCTTATGAGCCAGCTCCTTGATGGGATAGCTGGCTCAGCCACGGCTTGTATCCTATTTTGGAAGTAACAATACAAACAAAACCATAGCTTTGACAGTACAAGCCTTCTTACTCTGAAAATTGACCTCAATATGGACACTGATGTAGCTAATTATTCTGCCAACTTTGAAGGCTGTCAAGCAAGAGCTCGCATGTACAGAGCTGATATGTTATATATGTGACTTTTTGGTTGTGACATGTGACAAACAAATGCTGTCACACATACAGGTAACCAGATCTCTCAAATTTTATGGCCAGAAAAAGTGACAAAGAGACATCAGGGTACTTGAGAGAGTGATGGTTATCCTTTGGATTACTTCCATTCATTTATTAAAGGTTTTTGACTGTAACTGCAACACTAAAGTAAAGGTTCCTTTTTTCGGTGATGAGCTGCTAGCTAGCCATGATTTGAGCTGCTGTGCCTGAACTGGAGCCATCATTTTGGCAGCTTAGCTCAGCTCCAAGCTCCCACACTGCCCGCTTTGGGCAAAGCTGAGCGGGAGCCGAGCTAAGCCAAGCTCCGGCAACACTAGTCAACAATGCCCTCACAATGCTGGACCCAGCTACTTCGCATTTGCCTTCGATTTTGCACCACGTGTCTGCCGACTTGGACGAGCGAGCGCCGCAGGTATTCCTAGTGCTTGGAAGTCCAGTCCCAAGACTGCAAAAAGACTGCAACTGGACCGGACCAAGACTGCAAAAGACCGGACCTGCAGTCTTGGTCTTTCAGATTTGAGATCACAAGACCGCAAAAAAACCGGTTTACATGGACCGGTCTTGTCGGTTAAGACCGGTCTTTTGTACCTACATAAAAACCCTTCAAAACGCACCTAAGATCATATTTTTAGGATAAAAACTGACAAAGATACATAAAAAACTGTAAAATATTTCGTGAAAATAGCAGATGTACCTTAGTATTTTTGTATATACATCAATTCTCAACGTAATTTAACGTCCTTGCACTCGTTTAGAAGCTACGAAGAATGTTAATAAAATTACCGACTCACAATTGCAAAATTTATGGCATATTTAGCTGAAAAACCGGTCTTGAACTGGTTGTAACCAGTTTGGACCAAGACTGGTCCAAAGACCGAAAAAGACCGCAGTCTTGGTCTTTTCCGGTCCTGGTCCGGTCTTTTGAGGTTTTAGGAACTGTGTGGACCGGTCTAGGTCTCGGTCTTTTCGTTTTGGGTCAAAAAACCGGACTGGACTGGACTTTCAAGCACTAGGTATTCCGGCACCGGAATCAGCATCAACTTGAACAACTGAAACCTGTTTTGGGCGTCGACCACAGGGAGCTTTAGCAGGTGGCACAGGCACATCAGCAACAGCCTCGGAGGTTGAGGGAACTGGCATGGGGACTCGACGATGTCCACGGGGTGGATTGATTGATTGGGAGATGGGCGCAACAGGAGCAGGGGTGTGCGCTTCCACGTTTGGATGCAAATCCGGCGCCTGTTCCACATCTGAGTGGGCGTTCACGCACACTACATCAGTTGGAAGGGTCTGGGGGAGTGGGAGTGAGCTAGAATTTTTTGAAGTGGGAGCTGAAGAAGTATCGGCTCCCATATGCAGTCCACGGAACATGGAATCGAGACCTGGGGTTTTCATCAGCGTCAACCCGGACACATGGTGCTTCTTCTTCTTCGTCCTGTGAGTCGGGAGCGAGGAGGAATTGTGGAAAAACTTGCATGTTCCAGTATTGCAGGAGCTTTCAAATGGTTGGCACATCCTGATTTTCGATTAAAAGCTTTTTGTAAGCTTCTGCCTCGCTCGCGTGGTTGATTCCTGTAAGTTTTCCGATGCCATGCTTGTTCAGCTCAGGATCACCTCCGAGAAGAAAACGAATCTAATAATTTTGTTAGCCAGAGGACTTATATGCCTAATGAAGAGCTGTGAAGCGTACGACGACTGCGGTGTTGCTAATAAATCCAAAGGTAACACCATCTACATGGCTGTGAAAGGGACTGTTCTTGTTGAATGCAGCTCTCTCTGATGTGTACGATCGTGGGCCATAGGTGATGAGACATGCCATCTAGTATTGTAAGTAGTATGACGAGTGTTTAGAAGTCCATTAATGAAAATACTTGAGAAATACTTACGGAGATCAAGTAATCACTTCTGAACATGCCCTCTTCATCGTGAGTATTGCCATTAGTATAGAGAACTGGTGCATTTGAGGGGTAGCATGCTGTAGGTGTTTTCCCGCAGGGGTTGAAGCCAAGAAGTGTCACAAGTTCAGGATTAGCTTCCATGCGCTTCTCGTCACACTTGGGATTGTAGTCAAAGAGGCTTTGGTTAAGGCCAAAAATTGCCCCTGCACTCCCACGCATGCGCAGAAGTGTGTTTGAGCGGCCTGATGAGACGCTCGCTCGGAACTAATTGAGCACATTGTGAGTTTTTATGATCTATGCGAGAGGGAGAGATCACATACAATACTTCGGAAATTCTCATGCTTCACCATGTAGTCATGGTATTGAGGAGGAACACACATGTAGAGCTCTGCAGTTTGGCCGGCTAATCTTGTTGTTGAATTGAGGTACCGGTCCTCGCTATCCCACGTGAAGTCAGGGTGAGAAATATCGAATGGGGAAGGTGTGCTCTGCTGAATCCAGAACGAGTAAAAATGAGCAAAAACTTTCCCTAGTTTACTGATTTCTTCGTCGTGTGCAGCAAGTTCTTGCAACGGAGCTTTGGAGCCATTGTTTTGACAACGGGAAGCGGCAAGTTCTTGTTTTAGCTGTTGGTTCTCAGCCTTCACAGCATTGAGCTGGCTATGTGCATCGTGCAGTGCCTGGCCGAAGAATGAAAAGTTAATAAAATCGGAGATCAAGGTGATGGCCATAAGTCAGTCAGTCATACTTACCTTAAGAAGCGCGGCAGTGTCCAATCCAGCGTGAAGCTCTGACCCGACGCTGCCATGACTGGCTGTCGAGTTGTCAGATCTGGATGTGGAGATGGAGTCAAGGCCAATCATCGATGGTGTGAGCGACGTCATCAGAATAAACTAAGGGGAACTTTCACGAATCACAAGAGTGAAAAGAGAGTGAGGATGTGTTTGCTGCGAGAAACTGCCTTGTTTAAATGAGAAGTGCATATGGTACTGTTTCCTGAACTCATGCAACAGTGAATCGGATTTCGCTCCGGAATTTTGACAACATGCAGTATGCAAGGTCTACAATTTAGGTGTAGATAATTTGATCCGTTGTTGCATTATTGTGTGTCAGCTCGAGTAATGGAAAAATGAAAGAACAAGGTCGGGCTGGTGACTAAAATTAAATTTCAGTAACTTACAGCTGAATGCAAAACCCTAGACACCTCACAGAAATCTCTTGACTCTGCCTCGCTTTGTGCAAACAACCATTTGGGGAAGGAGGCGGGCACGAATGACGCAAGTCCTCCACCAACAGAGGTATATGACATGTAATGGAGTGCTCCATGCTCCAATTGAGGTAAACTTGTGCCAAATGCAGTTGTTTGCACAAAGCGAGGTGGACACCAGAAATTTTCGGGAGGTGTCTAGGGTTTTGCATTTAGCTGTAACTGATGATAATACATTTTGAAAAGCATGGGCTGGAGAAACTTTGCCTTGAGGCCAATTAATTACCTCATCGACATGCATCAGACTAAATAACTCTAAACTTTTGAATGGGTGCCGATCTCAGTAGCACTTGTCTTGAGTAAACTTTGATGTGATTATGAGTGAAGCAAGAAAGGCATGATGAGGGCAGAGAAGGGAGGACGGAAGTGGTGGCAGAGGCATAACCAGTGCAGTTGGCAACTTTGGCTTTTGGATTCCTTGTCCATCATTGGACTTTACGGATGTCAGACTGGATTGCAGTATTGTTTCTGGGCAGCTAAAAAAATCTGTTATGCAAACGGTATCCATGGTGTCATTTGACGTGATGCTTGCAATGGTGGCTTTGTACCCAATTTCGGCTTTGGTAGCAGGGACAATTTGGCTGGTGGGCATCAATTGTGCCAAAGGAATGGACAAGCAGCAATGTTCTTGATCTATGTAACCATTTATTTGTTAATACTTTTACAGATCATCATTTGTATCAGATACTACACTAATCTATACCTCCTTTTTATATAATTCTTATGTCTATATTCTATTTATATCAGAGTGCCTCAGGTTTTCATTTCCATCTGAAGTCAACAGTGAGTGCCACCAGTGTGGGGAACATGGAATAATGGAACATTGACAGAAAAGCATCTCACTCTTTAAAATTTCTCTCACAATACTCTAATTAACAATTTCTATGGTAGCCCTTGGCCTTTCAGAATTGCTTCAGACAATTTTTGGAAGGATAAGAATAAATGCAAGAGCTTAATTTCTGTTTGAAGCATCATCACCCTTATGAACACTAAACCTATTGAAGTTACTTCAGATTCAGTATTGAAGCCTGCCCTTAAATATCTGCCACAGAACATCAAAATAGCATTATATACAACATTGTGCTATGCATTTTGCTTAGAACACAGAGCCTCTATCCCATACGCCGTATTTGTGCCAACCATTCATTTGTTTGGCTGTGTTACCTCCCAAGCTAGCCTGCACTGGTTTTGTTAGAGTTATTAGAAGATATGCCTGTTCTTATTTCACAATGAATTTAAAATATATAGGAAGCCTTTCTTTATTTCTACATATTTAAATTGTTTTCAGAGCAACAGACTATTATTGTAGTGTTCATTTGTGTGAATATGGTTCCCCAATGTATTGTCTGCTTAGTCATTCCCACATGGCATCTTCAAACAATGTAGCACTTCATCTGAGTGATCAGCAATTGCATGAGACCCAGGGGGACTTGATGTGTGTGATCCTTGCTGAACGAAGGGTTCTGGTTAGGGTCCACCCTGAAGTTTTTCTTGACAAAACACAGCTGCATCGCCTGGACATCCCTACCTAACCTTCAACACAATCCAAAGGCTACCTTCATCAATGTTCACTTGAACTGGAAGCTGT